CCCAGGTGCCCTCATTCTTGCACTCAAAAGTAGTGGCGGCTGCTGTTATCCCTTGGGTAGCGGTGACAGGCTGGGTTGTCACAGTCGTAGAACTATCAGACTGGGTGGTACTCTGATCTGTGGGGCTGGTGAAGGTGGAACCAGGGGAAGATAGGGCTGTAGTCACAGCTGCTGTTCCTGGGGTCGAGGTGACAGACTGGGTTGTCACAGTCGTAGTGCTGTCAGACTGAGTGGTACCCTGAGCTGTGGGGCTGGATGAAATGGAGCCAGGGGAAGGTGTGACAGTTAATGAGGTCCTTGCAACAGTAGTAGCAGCTGCTCTTGTCCCTTGGGTAGCAGTGATAGGCTGGGTTGTCACAGTCGTAGGACTATCAGACTGGGTGGAACTCTGATCTATGGGGCTGGATGAAATGGAGGCAAGGGAAGTTGTGGTCGTTGCTGAGGTTCCTGGGAAAGTAGAGGCAGCTGCTGTCGTCCCTGGGGTAGCAGTGACAGCCAGGGTTGTCACAGTTGTAGGACTATCAGACTGGATGGTACTCTGATCTGTGGGGCTGGTGAAGGTGGAGCCAGGTGAAGATACAGCTGTGGTTGAGGTCCATGGGGAAGTAGTGGCAGCTTCTGTTGTCCCTTGACTAGAGGTGACAGCCTGTGTGCTCACAGTCGTCGTAATGCCAGGCTCTGTGGTACTCTGAGGTGTGGGACTGGTGAAGGTGGAACCAGAGGAAGATGGGGCCGTAGTCACAGCTGTGGTTCCAGGGGTTGAGGTGATAGCCTGGGTTGTCAGAGACATGGTACTGCCGGGCTCAGTGGTACTCTGATCTGTGGGGCTGGATGAAATGGAGCCAGGGGAAGTTGTGGCTGTTGCTGAGGTACTTGGGAAAGTAGTGGCAGCTGCTGTTGTCCCTTGGGAAGCGGTGACAGCCTTGGTTGTCACAGTCATGGGACTATCAGACTGGGTGGTACTCTGATTTGTGGGGCTGGTTGACGTGGAGGCGGATGGGGCTGTGGCTGAGGTTCCTGGGAAAGTAGTGGCAGCTGCTGTTGTCCCTTGGGTATCGGTGATAGGCTGGGTTTTCACAGTCGTAGTACTCTCAGACTGGGTGGTACTCTGATCTGAGGGGCTGGATGAAATGGAGGCAGGGGAAGTTGTGGCTGTTACTGAGGTCGATGGGAAAGTAGTGTCAGCTGCTGTTGTCTCTGGGGTAGCGGTGATAGCCTGGATTGTCACAGTTGGAGTGCTGTCAGACTGGGTGGTACTCTGAGCTTTGGGGCTGGTGGAGGTGGAGCCAGGGGAAGCTGTGGCAGTTGCTGAGGTCCCTGGGAAAGTACTGTCAGCTACTGTTATCCCTGGGGTAGCGGTGACAGGCTGTATTGTCACAGTCGTAGGACTATCAGACTGGGTGGTACTCTGATCTGTGGGGCTGGTGAAGGTGGAA